TTAGACCAAAACTGGGAGTCAGTTCCAGTCCTGGGGAGCGTTCAGAGTGCCACCTTTGGTAGCTTTGGAGCTTTGGCTCCTGGTTTGTTCAGGCATCGGCAGAAAATGGGCCTGAAGTTCAGCTCCAGAACAGACCACCTAAACTGTAGTGTCTCTGTGTGCACCAAACAGTGGGGCTCCACTCCAGTCAGCTCTACAGTCCACTCCAGTCAGCATAGCCCAGCTGTGAGGAGCTCAGCACAGTGGGCTGAAGAAAGGCATCCAGTGCCATTTGAGATGCAGGAGGCAACTCAAAATGTCTGCATGAGACTTTCAGATGTGACACAGGACTGGTGAGAGCTCTCTGTCCTTCAGCCAACATTAACTATCTGCATGTGGGCAACTGAAAAAATCACAGGTATAGTGTAACCTGTGTAACCTGAGGTGTAAGTTCAGGAGTAACCTGAACTTCTGTCTAGGCTTTAGTTTTGTTTATAATGAGAGTTTAGACACATAGCACACAAGAAGGTGCCCAAATTTACTTCTTTTAATCTACAGCTTGCATCTTGGATCTTACCTTGGAGCTCAGTGAATACACAAGAAAGGTGCTGCAGATCAGTGTGGCAGCAGTCCTCAGGTCCTGCCAGGCCCATGCAGGTGCTGTGCTGCAAGCTGTCCTGTGCTGTGGGCAGACAGGAGGGCAGCCAGGCCACAGTCCCCTTTGCCTCTCTATGAGCCAGTGTTCCACAGGGTCTGCAGGGACTCACTCAGACAAGAGCCACTGCCTCTTGGAAACATGTTTATGTGTTTCTTGCCTCTGGCACTGGGCCATGCTGAACACCTCTATGCACCCCAATTACATCTTTTTGCCAGCAAATGGTGCAGAGATTATTTTCAAATAATTGCCATTTATTTTCAAAAAGGAGTCAGGTTGTTGTAATGTCCCAGCTGAAGAGCTGCTTGTGGAAACCATTCTTAGTTATCTTTGACCCCATTCTTGTAACAGGTCCCACAGATGGAGTCCCACCTGGAGAGGCAGTCAGAGTGTATTTTTACCTACCCTGGGACTCCATTTACTGAGCTGCATGATGGGCCTTGGAATACTGCCCTGTCTTTCTTCCCAGAGGAAGCTGATCTAAATGTGAAGATGCAGCCCTAGGCACTGGAGACATTCTACTTGGAATACAACTTGTGGTAAGAAACATTAACAAATGATCCATTGACTTGTGTTTATTTGTCTTTAGTGAAGTGTCTGCTGTTTCAGGTCACAGAGCATTCACCATATTCACTATATAGTGTTATTTTGGGCACCAAAACAGTGCAAATAAAAACATGACACCTTTCAATTATCTGCAGTAGCAAAATGTATGTTGAAACCATATGTTTGACACCATTCTTGTTCTCAAATAACTAGTACCTAAATGCTGCTTCAGGGCAGTTTATTTCTTCTTACCACAACGCACATCCCTCTTTATCTGTTTTTCCTTGGGGGAAAACCCAGTGTGATTGTTCCAGTCTTTGTTGTGCCTAAGAAAATTACTATCACTCCAGCTAACTTTACCCACACCCACAAGATGCCAGAACTGCAGAAATTTTGCTGTGCTTATTGAAATCTTACTACTCAGCAGTTTTGTGGGTTTTAATGCTTTTAAAGTGTAGCTTTCCATGTGTGCTTGTTTGCACTGGGGTCAGCACAAGGTCTATGAACCACTGCTGACTGCTTTTACCCTCATCTACATCTCTTCCTTTTTTTTTTTTTTCTTTAACTCAGCCAGTGGCATCCCTTGAGCCTCAGCCATAGATTTCATATCTTACAATCTTAACTTGCCCACCACTGGCAGGCTTTGATATTCTCATTTAGCATCACCAACTTTAAAAACTTCATTTGCTTGAGGCTTGAGGGAGTCAATGTATTGAGGTAAGACAGCTTCAGAGGTCTGTACTTAGTTTCCATCTCTGTCAAGGTTTTTTGCCTCCCCTTATGAAAATAATCATTCTGTGATGCTGTTTCAGAAAAAAATAAAGGAGAATACTGCTCATTTTCATTGACCCTTTTATGTTCTTGTTTGCACAGTCTTTCACCAGAATTTCTTTGGTTTGTGTACAGAGGACATAAAAATCCATGCCCTAATATAGGCTTCCAGACATTGGTGTAATATAAATAGCAATAAAATGTGTAACAAAACATATTGGAACAGGTATATTTATATGGCTGGGCTCCCAAAGGTATCGACTGAATGTGCAGAAAACACGATTCAGCCACAGTCTACTCTCAGGTGATTCATTACACACAATCTTTCAGAAATCAATTTCTCTTTTAGCATTTTGATTTACTCCCTGTGACAAAATAGTTACAGACTTCCTGCCTTTTTTATCTTTGTGCATTTTTCTACTCACTTGCAGAATTTGTTCATAAGAGTGGACTGTCTTTCCACTTGTTTGTTGCATTGTGTTATAATAGCAAAAGACTCAGCTTATGCATCTCTTACACAAATCTAGTAAGGGAAGTTTGTTTGTTTGTTTTTTTTTTTTTTTCAGAAAAGCTGCCTATAATTTCTTTGTCCAATTTTTCAAGTATTGCTTGGAAATGCCTCAGTACAGCTGTGCAACGGGTACCGAAGGCAAAGTTTTTGAAGGAGTTTTCATTGTTAACTTTGAAGGACTTCAGAGCATCTGTGTAAAAAAAATCAGAGGCTAGAAAGTGAAAAATGCTTCTTTCCTACCTCATCTATCATTCTTTTCATGCAAAACAGTTCTACTTATTGCTTCTTTGACTACTGCAGCTTAAATGTTATGAAGAACAGTACTCCACACCTCCTTGGAACATCATTTGATAGGCTAACACTGTTCTTTAATTTTACTCTTGTGCCTAAGAAAATAGTTGTTATTAACAATTTTCATAAAGTGTGATGGACTGATCACATTTCTGCAGTAACAGTAGGTCAGATTCCAACATTAGACCTGAGAAAGAGTGATGGTATAAGGGCCTGACACAGAATAAAAAACTTCTGGTTAAACCTAGCAAAGGGCAGTGGAATACAAATGGTGGTGTAAAATTATCCACCATAAATCATGGTCATACTCCCTTAGGTACAAGAAAGATAATTTCAGAGAACCAGGAATTCATAGGAATGTTACCTGTGGAGTTTTAAACTATCCATTTTACTCATAGATTTCTGACATATGTCTAGTATTGTTCTGCAGAGCAGTGACACTCACAGCTTCATGGTCTGAAGAAAGTGTTCCTTACAGCCACGAAAACCATGGCAAGGCAGCACCACTGCTCCTCAGCTCTACACAAAGCAGGCAAAATTCACTGTAAAATCTGCTTACCACACAACTGAGTACCCGAACATTAATGAAAGCAATGCTGCAAATATCAATACAGAAATGCTGGAAGGAAAGAACTATGACAAATACATTATCTGTCAGTCTGCATTAGCAAGGAGCACAGTGAGAACATCAGCACTATGGATTCTGTGCTTGTCCTGAAGCATTTCAGGGGAGAGCACTCTTTATGCCACCATTACTGGATAAAAAAGTCTCAGTGCTGGTAATGGACAATGTAAAGGAGAATATACAAACTGTCTGAACAGATGTTCTCTATCCCTAATTGGTGTAACCAGATTTAGAACTGCCTGGGTTGGGCAACGAGGTAGAAATATCCTACTTACAAATTCCACTCAGTTTTATTTGCTTCTGCTGTTTGTCATCCTAAGACAGAAGGCTGACATTGAGTAACAAATTGAGCTTTTACACGTCCAGCTTCACTGATATTTGTCCTTTTCCTGTTTTGTCAACAAGGCAATATCCATAGCAGGGTGCTGTATTCCAGAAAGCGTGTACCACTGTCTACAAGAAAGCTGCCTGAGATTTTCCATACAGGAATAATTTCCATGGAAGAGGAAGGTGGATTCAACAGAAACAGCACCTCCCATTGGACCCGTGCTTGTGGGCATGTGATATGATACAAGTCTTAGCAGCAGCTGAGATTGGAGTGACCCTGGGGAGAAAGAAATGATCTTGAAGCTTTGAAGCATAATGATGCCCATGTCTGTCATAATGCAAGATTTATCCTGTTATCCACCTCATAAGTCAAAATCACATATTTCTGTCATTCTAGACATACAGATTCACTACCTACCTGCAGCTGGTAGATTGCCTCTCTTAGAATAGCAGCTATCTCATTGAAGTATGGCTGTGCTCCACTCATGAAGTAAATTAAATTAATTTTTTTGAGGAAGACAAATTGTATGAACTAGTGACTGCAAACATGACCTACTTCACTACCAATAAAAAACATTTTTTAATATTCAAAACTAATTCCTGATATTTAACATTTCTGTATTTTTTAAATACATCTTGGGCAATAAATTATTCTGAAAGATGAATAGGAAATTACCTTAAGGATCTCTGAAGTAAAATTTTTGTTAATGCTTTAGAGTTATGTTTCTTTACAGAAACAAGGAAATGTAATATTCTAATGTATACTGCATAATGTTATTTCTTATCAGCCAAGGCGGCATTTATTAACAGTTGAAGTGTGTATGACCTATTCCAGCTGTTAAAAATTGCTGCTGAACTACTGAAAAGTTGCAGAATTTATTTTAAAAATCATGAAGATTGTTACATATTTTTGTTGTCTTTCAAGTAGTAGAAAGTCAGTTTTTCTAGCAGAGAGGTGTAAGTTATTGCAAAGTTGCTGCCAGTTATTGCCAGTGTAAGTTACGGCAAAATAATCAAGAAGTGAGGTTTGCATCTGCCCATTTCTTCCCACAACCTATGTCAACATTCAGAGACTGTGTTTATGTGAGGATACAGTTTCAGAGCCCTCAGTGGGACAACAGACGCCTAAACCACAGTGTTGGGGAGGAGGGAAAAAGTAGCCGTCTAAGCATGTTTACTTTCAGCAACAAGGAAGTTCTAACTTGTCCCTAAGTGGTGACTCACTGGATGTGGACTATAAAAGTAAAGGTAACTGCTCTCTAAAGCATCAAGGCTCCAGACTTCACGAATCCAACATGATGCAATCAAGACTTTCAGCCGTCTTGTTTTTCTTGCTGGGTTTGTCATTTTGCCTGACAATCCCTATTCCCCTTGAAGATAGCCATGAATTCACAGAGAAAGACCTTCAGTTTGCAGAGGTACAGTATAAAAGAGTTCATTTCCATGTTTTATAAACAGTAGTGCAGTTACAACTGCTTGGAAACTAGACTTATTACTTCTTTTTCCCTTCTTAGCGCTATCTCAGGACTCACTATGATCTCCGTCCAAATCCTGCTGGCATGATGAGGAAGACTGCCAACACAGTGGCATCTAAACTTCGAGAAATGCAAGCTTTTTTTGGCTTGGAGGTGACAGGAAAATTAGATGAAGAAACATATGAGCTGATGCAGAAACCAAGATGTGGTGTCCCAGACGTGGGGGAATATAACTTTTTTCCTAGAAAACTCAAATGGTCAAAAACTAATTTGACATACAGGTAAATGCATGGCATTTTGAGTGTTGTTGGTGTTACTACCCTCTTTCCAGGTACCTTGTCCAATCGTATATGATGAGAGAAGGATGCATTTGAGTTTGACAAAATTCATGTTGCAGTTTAAAATCCTTACAGCCCCACTTTTGGAAAAGTCTCCCAAGCCCACCTTACAGCCTAAGGAAGTAAAGATGTTTGGTTGGTTGGTTTTTATCCATTGCACTTTGACATGAAGGAAAGCTGGTGTGGTGTAAACTAGTAACTTGTCATCTGGCTTCCACATAGACATTCTGGGCACAACTTGGTGCTGAATGAAAGAGGAGTAGGTCTAAGATCACGCGTCTCACCACTGATCCTCAGAGTATTTATTCTCTAGATCACTTCTTAGGTCTGTTCTGGACCTAGTTTAGTGTCTGCTTCAACTAGGTTGTGTCCAGGACGAGGCAGTGTAGATGCAAAACAGTCTGTGGGATGTGGCTGTGAGAGCAGGGACTGATCCTGGTCTCCCTTCCATTTCACAGTCCAGATTTAGATATTTGCCTGGTCAGACAAATCGCTCTGTCGTGACCTTGGAAAGTTGCCCTTGATAGGTGCTCCTGTGATAACACAAGGTCATCAACAGGGGATTTTGACCAGCTGCAACTTGAGTTTCTTTAGCAGATTCCAAATATGAAATCTCTGAACTCTATCAGTTATATGGTGATAAATTTTACTTTGATAATGATGTTTCTAGCCTATAAAAAGCTCTCTGGGTTATATTTTGCTCCTCTAGGAAGTGAGTATCATAAGAAATTTTATAGGGCATAGAAAAATTTGAAGGTAGTGATACGATTTGACTTAATACGGAATATATCTGTCATTTTCTATATCTTCTGGTGCATATAAAACCAATTACAGAAAGCTGTTGGATCATTTCAGGTGTCTCTGAGTGATTGTAATGAACATAGAAATAGTTTGGTTTCTTCTATTAAATACTGTTGAGCTTTTTGTTTTTAGATAAAAACATGGGCAGGGAAAAAGTAAAAGCTTCTAATGAGTTATGCGTTCAGATAAAAATGTGTTTCACATTTTCTTCAATTCACACAATTTAACTGGAGGTATTAATCTTTTTTATAGAATTATAAATTACACTGCAGATCTGAGACGTGCTGAAGTAGACAGAGCTTTCAAAAAAGCATTCAAAGTTTGGTCTGATGTGACACCACTGAACTTCACACGAATACGAAGTGGTACAGCTGATATCATGATCTCCTTTGGCACTAAAGGTAACACAGAACCAGTTATTTTTAGTTACATTGCTGCCAGTAGGGTGGGATAATCAGTTTACTTGTTTTGTATGTTTTATAGAACATGGTGACTTTTACCCCTTCGATGGACCCTCTGGATTACTGGCTCATGCTTTTCCCCCGGGGCCAGACTATGGAGGAGATGCCCATTTTGATGATGATGAAGCTTGGTCAGATGATTCTAGAGGTAACAGAAATGCCTGAGATTATTTGAAATGGTGATGGAAAATTTTGTCCTGTTTGAGGTCTGTTAACAGTTTATTTTGTCTGTTTACTGTTCCTTCATCATTATGTTCACTGTGCCCTCATAGGAAGCTGGATTTAACCTCCAATCATAAATGGAAGTATAACATGCCTAGCATAAATTTTAAGATATACACCTCCTAAGTGAAGTGGTTAAAAACCAAACAAGGTATTTTGTCATCTTGGCCTTTCACTGAGCTCTACAGCAGCTAATTCTGACCACAGATGATAGGAATTACCACACTGAACCCTACAGAAAATGCATATACTTAGCTGCAAATTGTCTACTTGCAATTAATTTGAAAGTTCTTCAGCTCACCATTTCAGGACAGAGCTTTAATAGACCAAACCACTATTTATTTTCAGCACTGTGTTATTTTACTGTCTTGGCATTAAAACTACTTTCTGCAACACTGAAAACAATATGGACTATCTAGTGGAGGTGAATTCCCATCAATTTTTATTTTTTTTATTATTTTTTTTTTTTATTAAGTAGGGCTGAGACTTCACCCTAGAGCTTTCCAGAGTTGCTAAGAAATTTCTAGAAATCTAAATCTGCCTACAGAACGACATTGTCAAGTAAGATTTAGGTTGAACACTAGCTATGAGAAACTCAATTGATCAGGCCCTTATCAAGCAAAACCCAGGGTAGTTTGGAAAAGACAAGCAATTATACATAATTTTTCCATTTATCCAGTTTTCTCCTTCATTGTCCCTTGTGTTAAAGCACACTGTTAAGATTAGTTGATGTGTCCAAGTCCGTGTTGGTGATACAATGAGCTACACATTTACTTTCACTGTGATTTGTTACAGGGTATAACTTGTTTCTTGTTGCTGCCCATGAATTTGGTCATTCACTGGGACTTGAACATTCTAGAGACCCTGGAGCTCTGATGTTTCCAATTTACACATATACTGGAAAAACTGGTTTTGTGCTTCCTGATGATGATGTGCAAGGCATCCAGGAGCTCTATGGTAAGTCTGTATAACATATATTTCCTGTGTTGTCATAACCTGTTACAGATGCACTGCACAGTTGCTAAAGTGCTGCAGATGTTCAATAGCAACAGCCAGGACTGATTAAGACCGTTTCACTGGATTCTTGGCAACTAGATTTCAGGAACAAAAGTTGCTTAGATTTAATAGTTCAGAGGAAAAAAAAAAAAAAAAAAAGGAACTAACACTGCAGAGGACAGTTGGTCACTTTGCTGTCTCCTTTAGTGGTGGGCAGAGTCTTTATACTTTTTGACCTACCTCAAAAGAGAAGGTAAAACAGAACCTAAAGGGAGAAAAAGAACTATCCGTATTTTTTTTTCCATGGAAAGAATAAAACTCTGGGGGGACCATCAAAACTTGACATAAAGAAAGCAAGCCCATTTAACATCTTTGCAGCACACCTGAACTGCATTGTCTATGAGTGTATTTGGCTAAAGGAGAGAAAGAGAGAGCAGACTTTTTCCAGTACATATGGTTTGTATTCATCATGCTGTTTGGGAACTCTTCCATGTTCTGCTCAGTATCGTGATCCACAGAAAATAAATGAATGTTGTAAACTTAGATCATGTGATATGATTTCAGGTGCTGGAGACAAAGATCCCAACCCAAAACATCCCAAAACACCAGAGAAATGTGATGTAGAATTATCACTTGATGCAATAACAGAACTTCGTGGAGAAATGCTGGTCTTCAAGGACAGGTAAAGAGGCTGTCATATCACGGGTGATGGGTACCAGATAAAAATTGAGCAAGCAAAACCACCTTTCCAGTATTTTACTAAAGATTTGAGTAAACATAAATTCTTAAAAATCACAAATCAATATAGATGCCTCTAAGAAACAGGATTTATAATACAAGTACAGACTTGACTGCCCAGTAATATGAAGTGAAGATGATATGGTTGAAGACTGACACCATTTGCACACATTTTTCATTTCACAGGGCTTTCTTCAATATGTACAACCTATTAACACTTACTTGAATTAAGTTGTACTACATTCAGAAGCCTTACTTAGGACAGCAGTGTTTCTTTGTTGTATAACAACAAAGATGATAACTGTATGTGATGGAAATGGTCTGCAGCTAGGTGACTATAAGGAAAGGACAGGTCTGCAAGGGGCTTTATGTATTGAAAATTCTACGTTATGAAAAAAAATTAATTCTCTGTTAACTAATTTTCAGTATAGCACATCAAAGATACTGCTATTCTGTAGTATGAGAGGAAAAGTAAATGATATTTTCTTTTTCTGAGCTAGGTTTTTCTGGCGACTGCACCCTCAGATGGTTGAGGCAGAACTGGTGTTGCTTAAGTCCTTTTGGCCAGAGCTTCCAAATAAAATAGATGCAGCTTATGAAAACCCTATCAAAGACCTTGTGTTCATGTTTAAGGGTGAGTTTTCAGTTTTGTTGTTGGCAGAAAAATACACATCTTTAGTCAAGCTCAATAAGTGATGTAAAGGAAATCAACAGAAGAATAAAAAATCCTACCTTCCTCACTCATAACCCAAACTCTGTTGGTTTCACCCCATGGAAAGCTGTATAATTCTCCATGAATCAGATGTACAATTAAGCTCAGATGCCTGGGATCAGAGTTATCATGGTTTAATGCTGCCGAGTATGTGACCTAAGAATCTGTTAGTTGTATAAAAATAGGGATCATGACACCCTCATTTTATTCTTCTCTTGAAGATGAGCCTGTACAAAAGCTTCATGTATACTTTATTCTTATTTGCAGGAAAGAAAGTATGGGCTTTGAATGGCTATGACATAGTTGAAGACTTTCCTAAAAAGATATATGAAATGGGATTCCCAAAAGAAATGAGAAGAATAGATGCTGCTGTCCATATTAAAGACACTGGCAAGACTCTCTTTTTTACCGGAAATAAGTACTGGAGGTAAGCTGGAGACAGACTGGTGTGTCCTTAGTCATAACCTGTCCAGAAATAGAAAAATAAAATCAGCAGGTTGTTTCAAACCAGGCACTTGACCGTGTCTCACGTTTCCAGTCTATGGCTTTCGTTGGTGCTGTAGCTGTGTAGAACATATTGTAAAGGTGTATGCAGGGCTTTTAAAAACATATGGCATAGCCTTGAGAAGCTGAAAGAGTGAAAGAAAGGAAAGGAGAATAAAGTGCCCTGATGCAGGAGAGTTTGTAGTGTGGTCACGTGTCCTAGACAAAATTGCCATCTTGCTTCCTTCGGCTGCTGGTGTGACACAAAATGGTATCAGTGCTGTGAGAGTGAGAAATCTGTCCCACCCGAGGATGGCTGGGTCTTGCTGCCCAGGAGTGGGGCTTGCAGCCAGGTCTGATGCATAATTAAGACATTATCATCACTTTCCAGTACTTCACTGTGCCAAGCAGCCTCAGGATAGGCTCGTAGTGCCAGTGCATGCAGGTACCATCATCTCCATATAATAACAAGTACTGTATGGGTCAGCTCTGAAAATGCAGCTTTCTTAGTGTTGTGTTTATTGAGCTTGTACGTCTGATGGAAGAGAGACCTGATTATTGCCCTGACTTTCATTATTACACTAGAGATGAAATACCTAAAGACTGCTGGCTGCTTCTGATGTGGGTAGCTTCAAAGCACATAAAGCTCACAGGCCAAATTCCCAGGCCATTTCAATCCTCTGAATTTTTATTTTCTTTTTTGTTTAATATAGTTATGATGAAGAGTCGGAGGTTATGGAAGCAGGCTACCCCAGGCTGATAGAAGAAGAATTTGCAGGAATTGGTGATAGAGTGGATGCAGTCTATGAAAGAAATGGTACATAATCTGATAATGAGACTTTATTACGATTAGTTGTCATTTAAATTTAAGATCCTGTAAGGAATTCTGTCGTTTGTAATTTTCATTTTTTCACATCAACACTTCTATTCTCAACTGAATCGTATTTCTGATCTAAACTACCTTCTGGCCAATGTGCCCTTATAAACCGTTTACATACATAATTGAGGAGCCAGAAAAGATCTGCCTTCTTGCTCAGGGAACATACAGTGATATATTTGATGTAGAAGTATTATGTGTCCATTCCTTCAAATGGAGCCCATTCTTATCCAGCTCTTCAAGGAGTGTTTCCAAGTCAGAGTCTCAAACATTAACAGGCAAACCCTGTGTTTTCCTAAGCAAATGCTGTATAGTAAAAAAATGCAGATCTTGACACTAGGTTAAAATATCAGTTATTTTAAAACACCAATCCAGGTCTGGCAAATGGAATGAGAACCTTTGAAAATTTAGCTCAGCATTCTAAATACTAAAATATTGCATTTAAGAGGGTTATTAAAAGTGAAAACAAACAAGATAGTTTTTATCTGAAGGGAAATCTTAATCTGACAACACAGTTTTCTCAGAGTTAATTAATTTTAACTTTTCCTTTCCTTAGGTTATCTCTACTTCTTCAACGGACCGCTGCAGTTTGAATACAGCATCTGGAGCAAAAGAATTATCCGTGTCATGCATACTAACTCCATATTTTGGTGCTAATTACATCAGAGTGCCATACTACAGGCTGCAGAGCAGCTTGTAATACACAGAAGTAATTATATGGGCATCTAGATTTATTAGAGGACAGCAAGGTTCTGTGAACAGGCACTGGTTACCTACCACTAGATGTATACTGTATATATGGAACTGTATAGCTGCATGTCAGTCTGGGACTGAATTAACTTAATAGGAAAGAATAAAAGAAATTATTATCATTTCAAGAGGCATTACACCATTTAAAGATAGTCTAATGTTAAAGTAAGATGCTGGATACATCCTACCTGATCATGAGCACTATTAATTCCCAGTAATCTGAGCAGGTCTAGCATCTTTCAAGGATGAAAGAAATCCTTGATTTCCCAAGAAATAGACCTGATAAACACAGGAGTGTTATATCTTTAAACTAACCCTTCATCAATTTGTGAATTTCCTGTTAATGTACTGGGAATTTGAATGTGTAATGAATGAGCCAGGACTGTGTGGTGACTCCCTGAGCAGGACAACACCAGGCTATGACAATGAAGTTAAAGAATTCAAAGGCAGCTGAATGAGAATGTCTCCCTGGAAAGGATGCCCACATCATCTTTGGAACAAGCAGAAGGTATAGAAGCAGCGAGGTGTTATTCCAAAGCAGACAGAAAAGCAGGAAAAGGGAAGAATATTCCCTGCAGAATTCACCAGCCTGTACAATACTGGGGAAACCAGAGAGAAGCAGCACCAACAGCAGAATCATGCCATTTGAATCCTTGCATCTACATCTGGTGACACTGCCCATATTTTTAGCTGGTGTAAAATGAAGAGGTTCAAGTGACATTTATAGAGGTTATGCCTAGCTGTGCCAGAAGAGAACCTGAACATCTGAATTAAAATCTTAAAAAGAGTATAATTTTTCATATCTATATCAATTGTTTCAGTACAATGTAAGATGGTTTTTTGTTCCTTTTTTTTTTTTTTCAATCAATGCTAATGATGTGGGGCTGTGATTATTTTTCTGTTTAAAAAATAAAATTAAACAAACTGGAGGGATAAAATGACATTGTGAAATTACTTAAAATTTAGTTTGCTGCATGCCATAAAAGCAGGACAGACCTATTGAATAAAAAGCAAAAACCCTAACTTGTGTATTTCATTAAATTTTTCACCTCTACTTAAAAATCTGTTTTTTCTCCCTCTGAGAAAATGAATTTATAAAAACAGAGGAGAAATACAGAAAGAGAGAAAAAATTAAAGACCCCTCAAATATGCAGAATAAGAACTGTTAGAATTAGTCTTTATTGTCATGGAAGGCATTAAGAAATGCTGTGAAATTCAGTTCCACATCAGTTTGAATGCTAAATGCTAATGAAATTAGCTAATTAGCTAATGAAACTACACTGTTCTCTTCCACCTCCTCAAAATGAACCCCTAAGTCAATCAGCCAGGCCTGCCAAGCAAAGCACATCAACAGTGGATACCTTTAAGCAGGCAAAAATTGCCAGGCTTACCCACCAGTGGACTAGGTGAAACTAATTCTGTAACTTACACAACACAGGTAGCCAATCAAGATAACCTAACAGATTTAATTGTCTCTTCTGACTGTAAAAATATGAATTAATGAATTCCAGACCTTAATACACTTAAACGAAATGCAAGGAAACCCTCTACAAATGGAAAAAATTAAAGTGGACTAAAATCAAAGTTCTTCTCATATTATATGATATTGGTAAAACTGTTAGGGAAAAAGTCAGTACAGTTCTTTATGCATAAGAACCAGAAATTGATTCAGTACTGTATAAAAATAATTTTTGACAGCCATAGCGTACCTGAAAAAATAAGGCTTGATATTTGACTGCAATTTAGCTAAATTGCTCTGCAGTTAAATAAGGGTCTGGACAAGTAACCCTAGCTCTCCTTATTCTCAGTATAAAGACTTTTTGGAAAATTGTGTCAAAATAATGAAGAATCTTCCCTAGTTTGGGATTGTTTGGTCTGAGTGCTCTGAATTTCATAGTTCTGGAGCAAAGGTGGACAGGGAAGCAGACGTCAATGAACATTGTTCACATCTCCGAAAACTTCTGTTAACGTTGAATATTTGGCAGGGGAAAAAGGTACTGCACAGGCAGCTGGATTTTCAAGAGGCTTCAGCATGATGATATCCAGCTGCTTTCCAGCCCAAACAGTCGGATTCCTGTTTACCACTCAGCTGACTGGAAGCAGCCTTCGGCTCAAGTCCAAGCACAGCTCCAGCTCTTGTGCCTGCATCCCCAGCGCGGTATGTGAACCACTCTGTGGTTAGTTCTACCTCCACTGAGAAAAGTACCAGCCTGTCAGTTCCTGGCATTCTGTTAAGAAAAAATGGAAAACAAAAAATGCTTCTCCTGAGGAAGTGCAAGGCTGAGGTCTGAGCCAGAGGGGCCCTGACGCTGTCATCAGCCAGAAAGGAAAACTGTCTGCAAGCCCTAGGACCTCATGAGGATATTTCACGAGTGCCTGGTGGGGACCCATATGGAATATCACCCAAGACCATCAGGCACCGAAAAGGAATTAGTCCTTTTCTTGAGGCACAGGCTGAAATCGCTGCTTTCCCTGAGATGTCATGAGTGAGGAAAGGTCCATGAGAGGCTGAGACAATTATGCCCCAGAATATAATACAAGCAGAACTAATAACTTCCCACCAGGTTGCTAGTTGTTATGTGGAATTACATAAATCTAACTAATAGTACATGAACTGTTGTTGATTAATATGCCTTTTATATCCTTTTTAATCTCTGCTAAGGATAACCTTTCAGAAGGGGAGAAAGGATAATACAGGAAAAGGAATCTGTCAGATGTTCCTTGGGATTAGTTTCTGTGGCGGTTACATGATCCTGAATAAGTGGGACTTGGAGGATACAAATACATATGCCAGGAGAGAAAGAAGTGAGCAAACAGCATTTAAACTTTCCAAAGTGAGAAACTAGACAGTTGTCCTTTAAATTCATTAATATATTAGAAAGTTCATAAACCCTGTAAGATGTACTGTGAGCTCCATGCAATTTACTACTAGCTGAGAAACCGGAGAAGGAATTCGATCCTGTCATGAAAATGCTTTTTTTTTCTGTCAGTATAAAGCTGCAGAAGCCTGGTCTGAGGACACTAGGTGGCAGTGACAGCTTTGCTCCTTAGAGGCTCTGCACAGAATCAAAAATGGTATGGTGGGTGAGAAAGCTGCAGCTAATTATACAAATTCTTAACGTTTGGCCAAAGTATAAAAACACTCAACGCTATTAAGTAGAATGTAATGATTATATTCTGTTGAAATGTGGATCTTTGAGTAACAAGTTAGGATACCAAAATGTTTAGGATTCTTATTCTAGACATATTCACTGTGAGGGCCACTACCAATCTACTGATAATCTTTTTCTCAACATCAATGCAACACACTTAAAACAGCATATGCCGTGCCTAGTCCTAGCAATCGCTTAGCTTAACTCTGATCATTGGAAAATTACAAACACACACAGAGAGACATATTCCATCTCCTGTGGAGCATGAGAGCATTTCAGGATACAACCTGATTTCTGAGAAAATGACACTGCAAAATATGAAAATAATGCAGAAGTGGAGGAAAAAAAATCAGTTTGAAAGTACGCAAATAAAGCAGTACAAATGTAATCAAGTGTCTGAAATACCAAAAGTGTGATTACACCCACTTGGAAGAATGAAGGACAATTTCTAAGCCTTTCACAGTTCATTCTGACCTAAGTAATTCCAGGCTTGTGGCTACTTTACAGATTAATAATCTGGCCTTGATCTCTGAATCCCTAATATTGCCCAGATCAGTAAGACTACTGAGCATTTTGAGCTAGGCAGAAATTGATTTTTCAGAATTTAAAACACCTTTACTGTTTGGAAGAGAAAGAAACAAGAGATTTTGAAATGTTTAATGGAGAAATATTTCTCTTCTTGTATAATCTGTAGCCATATTGTCAATCAGCATACTTATTTGGTCTGGGGAGAAGAATGTAGCATTTCAGTTTTTTGCCCAGATTGATTTAAACAAGGGTCTAGACCTCAATCAGTCTTCTAGGTGAAAAAATTGCACACACATTTATGTTGTGGTGAGTTTCTTTCCACCTGTCCTGCTGGACATGTTTTCTCCTTACATAAATACAATCAAGCAGTACTCTTTGAAAATACTAGCTACCCACTAATCACAAAGCCCATTTGGGATGTAGGAGGAAGCCCCTCTGTCCGTTAAATTGGGGATCTCTCTACAAAGTGGCATGCCTATGCATACTCTGTGTCCACTCCAATTTTCAGGTTTTGTGATTCTGCCGTTTCTACTGAAAAGAAACATTTCCAGAAGACTTCACCAATTCTCCCTGACATTTTAACGGGGAAGGGGTACCCGGGCACGCAGGCGAAGCCAGCCCAGCAGCAGGGGCACGGCCACCGCACCCTGGAGGTGGCGATGCGGGGTAGGGGCCGGGGCCGGGGCTG